TGATGAAATAAGGATAAATATAAAAAATGCCATTCTTATGCATTGATTTGGAATCCATTTAGAAGAAGAATTTATAAACTCTCACATAAGCATGGGCACACACATTCAGGCATGACATCGAGCTGTTGAGCATCTGGTTTTATATTAAAAAAAAACGAGCAAGCATAATTTATACCCGATTTGAGGAAGGCATTTGATTAATCTGAAATAATGCAACAGCTATTAGTGACGATATTACCCAATACAAACAAGATTTCGGTTTGCAGGTTCGCTCATTCACACATATACATATCAAGTTGAAAAATGAAAACAATATTAAAAGACGTATAAGGCATTCAAAATGTAGCAACTGAACACAAGTAACATAAAATATGCTCTACAAGGACCGTCACTGCCACATTCTTCTACATTCACATAAACACTGCCCCCCCTCTCTCTCTCTCTCTCTCTCTCTCTCTCTCTCTCTCTCTCTCTCTCTCTCTCTCTCTCTCTCGTCGTAGATGCTCTTAGTAAAATATTGATGGAAACATGTTGCCCCAATTCATGTTAAGCCATAGCTTTACGCTATGTTCTAAAAAAAACTATTATTATTGTAATGGATTCAGTGCTTATTTCATTACTTTTATTTTCATGACTTTAATGTACGGGTGTGATTCTCATTAATATTTATTTTATGATCCTGCTTGCTTGAGTGACAAATGTCATTGTATTTGAAAACATAGAAGAGTGAAGCAAAAACCAAAAAGGCAACTTAATATGATCATTTTTGTCACATAATACAGTCCATTTTAACAAACCATTTTAGCCAAAAATGGCATCATCGGCTACTTCGCTATTTCATTGCTGTGAAAATCACCCCTTAGTGCTCTCTTTAGCATCTCTCACCCAAATATTCTGATTTTGATTTGAGCTAGAATGCCTCAAAATGCAAGTAGAAACTGAAATAGAAACAAATCAACTATTCATATAGGAATTTCAACGTCAGTTTTGTTTAAAGAAACGTACATTTACATTTTATGCTATTGTGAAGTGAAACCACTGGATTGTATGGTTACGAAATTGGTATTCAATCTAAGTTACGCAGTTTGCTTTCATTCCTTCGTTAGTCATGAGCGCAAACGAGAAAACGTATGAAATTTGGAAACATGTTAGATGGTTACAAAAAGTGTCTTTTTTTTAAAAAAATCAAACTTGTTCTTGAATACGCTGTTAGTTTTTGAGGAGTTGAAAGAGACGGATGTCTGAAAAAAAGAATTGAGTTTTTGATTGAACACAAACCTGTTTATAAAAACAGTTACTTATTCTTTCACACTATTTCAATAGATCATATGTAACATGTTGCAATTTTATACAACCATAACAAATATACCATATAAACACTATAATTTATCGCTCTTTTGGGGGCCAAAATCGACCTTTATCGTACTTTGTCCTTTATGTATTATTATGGGGAAGCTGTTATAGCAATTTGTTTTTAAACTCTCAGGCAATCGACTTGATGGAATCAAAAATATGTAAAAGTATCGAATTTCCAACGAAACGAAAAAATTGTGACGTTACATTTCATGAGATATACTTGCTTTGGTAAGCCAGTTTCGTCCCTTAGAAGAGACAAAATGTATTACAAATGTTTTAAACTATTGAGAAAATAAATCCTAGTCTCAAGATTGTGTCTTGATTTCTGATTATGATTTTTAACGTAGCTTTAACAATTTTTCAGTCATATCGCTACGATGTCTGCAGTGTGGCTATTTTATCGTGATGTCTAACACTGGGGCATCATGTCGCAGACATGTAGCATGATGTCCCACCCAGTCACATTATCCTGACACCAGGCCGATCAGTCATAACAGCAACCTCTTAATGCTGAGCGCCGTGCGAGGCAGCTCTTAGTACCTTTTTTGTAAGTTTTTGGTATGACTCGACCGGGGATCGAACCCACGACATCCGGTATCCCAGGCGGACGCTGTAACTACTAGGCTGCCAGAGGTGTTCTTGTGTTTTGACTAATATTATATAGCGTAACATAATGTCAAGCATGCTTCATTGTATGTTCTAATGTGAATATAGCACTTTTCAAAATTTTCTCTAATAGGTGAATGGGAGCTTATGTCCGTGTTTGGTCAGAATACTTCAACTACCAGAGAATCCAAGAGCTTTTCCCGCCTCATGTTCACTCTGATCTTGAGACGACGCCCTCTTTTTCACATCTTGAACACAATTTTGCCAGTAGTCATCATGGCGACACTTATTGTTATGGTTTTCAAGCTACCTCCGGAATCTGGAGAGAGAATAGGAATGTCGCTGACGGCTGTGTTGACATACGCTGTTTACCTTACACTTATATCAGATAATATTCCAAGAACGTCATTGTCAGCATGTATTCTTTGTAAGTATATTGAATATGTTTAACCCTGACGTATGTTAAAATAGTTTGTACGACATAAATAGTCTGTAATGGGTTCATCATGGCATACCTGTGTGCCTAAGATCAGAAAACAAAGGGCCTCTAAGGGGAGATAAGTCCACAGTGGGTTGACAAAGATAACAGGAAAGCTATATGGGGCTGATAATGCGAAATAAATCTTCAATGCTCTCTTAAGACAAAACAAATATAAACAATAAATGTCGTTATCTTTCTGAAAAAAGCCAGGTAAGTCTACAGTGGGCTTTTAAGACTATACAAGCGATTTATAATGGCATCATAAGGCAAACCAATCTTACAATGACCTATTGAAGTCAAATAAAAAAGTCTACTATGCTCCACGATGGCCAAATAATTGTACAAGGAGATCAAAATGGACTGTGAGTTTAAAATCGAGACACATAAGGCCAACACATGTTTACTAGGGTTTCATAAGCCAATAATGTCAGCAAGCAATTAATGATGTCATATAAGTATATAGGTAGTGTACAAAAGATATTAGTTTAATGAGACCAAGTAAGCCAACAAAGTGCTCACAGCAACATCTAAATCTACAAGGGATCGTATGACAAAAAAAAATCTACAAGGCAGGGCCGTATCATCTTTTACGAATGGTAGGCGGTGTGCAAAGATTCTTCGAACTATTTTACTGCAACGTGTATCACATAGAAGCAAAGTCATATCAAGGTCAATCGCTTTAGTAAAGAAATGCATCGGGCCTACAAGGACCTTAATCCAGTCTGCGGGCATATAAGGCCAAACTCAACTCTAGTCCCCACCCAATGTTCCTACATCAGCCTGACCCGATTGTAACAAACACGTCTTGATCATAAAAGTCATTCAAGAAATGAATAGCATGAACAACGAACCGATTTCCTGGTTTTGATATAACCTAATTGGTAACGTTCAATAAAAATGTTTAAACGCATCTATTAGTTTCACTGAAATAAAATGTAATAGAAAATAAAATAACATTTTCAGATAATTTGAACGTGGAAGAAATATTGAAATTTCGTCTAATATCAAAAATCTTATTTTAAATGTCTTTTACAGCAACCTATCTGGCCATAATTTTGTGTCTCAGCGCCCTCGCTGTTATATTGACCATTATTGTCCTTGACCTATACTTCAACATCGAAGGAGATGATGTACCCGCCTGGCTCAACCGGTTCACGCATCACGTGATGGTGAGGTTCTCGTGCTGGAAGGGAACCACGTGTTATAATGGAAGAAATAGAGTTACGCCTACCAACAAGAAGCAAGTGCTTTTATCAAGTAATGCGGTCCTGAATTTAGGCGATTCACAGATTGCTGACCAGGAACTGGAGAAGAAGAGGAAGCTGTCATTTGATAAAACGACTGATGATGAGAATACCGTTTTGGAATATTCGTGGAAAGAAATTGCACTGATAATGGACAAATGTTTTCTTTATATATTCTTATTTCTTGTACTTTTAGCGACCCTGATAACGTTTGTTAATCTTGGATGCAATTACTGAATGCATTATTTCTATTTTGCCAACGAACGTACAAAATACAATGGGTTTATACGATCATCAGCTTAAATATTTTTAAAACTAATTTTGAATGCAATTTTTATTTGAGGTAGATCGCAACCATGTTTCGACACTTATCTGTCATTGTCGACTAACTCAGTTGAAGAAATATTCTGCTTTTAAGAAATTGTTAGATACAGAAGTTGATAAACCAGTGTGCTAATAGCTTGTTTAGACGATTATGAAAATTGAGATGACGTTAGAAAGAATTTAACTAAAATAATCAAACTGTGATAACACTGCAATCTATAAACAAAGACTTCAAAGAAAATACGTGTTTTGTGTTTGTCTTCTAAATCAAGGAGAAAAAAACAAAATAGACACAGATCTTCATGTCGCTCAAAAGAATTTAAAGGAACTTTTGCATAAGCTGAAATAAGAAAACAAAAACAAAATAACATTCGTATAATTGGACTTCAATACAGATTTGACAATAGAGATGGTGCTGTAAAGAAATACAAAAAAAAAATAATGAGTACAACAGAGAGTGGAGCTGTCAGGTAAAGTATTTGCATTGTCAACCAAATAACTCATTTCGTCTTACATACGCAGAGCAACTACGCTTGTTTGATGCAATACATCTTTTGATTGGACGAACTGGGCAAATTCATTTCATTGTATTTATTCTTATTTAACAAATGACCTATATAATGTGAGATTCTTTTAATAAATATCTGTCTTATTTCTTTTGAAACGTTACTTTTGTCTTTGCCCGTTTTTAAAGAGTGCAGCTTACATTCATTTCAGTCGTTCAAAATTGTGTGTGTGTGTCTGTGTGTGTGTGTGTGATTTGGATTTTTAAAGTAGCTTTAACAATTTTTAAGTCACATAGTTACGATGTCTGCAGTTTGGCAGTTTATAGTGATGCCTAACACTGGATTATCATGCCGCAGACATATAATACGATTTCCCACCGAGTCACATTAGCCTGACACCAGCCCAACCAGTCCCAACACTAACCTCTTAATGTTGTGCGCCAGGCCAAGAAGTTGCTTGACCATATGTATAGGTCTTTGATATGAATCGGCTTGGGTTTGAACGCGCAAACTCCCGCTTCTGAAACGAAAGCTCTCACCACTTAGGCCACCAGTTCTTGTGAATGTGTGTTGTGTGTGCTTGTATGTGAGAGAGAGAGAGAGAGAGAGAGAGAGAGAGAGAGAGAGAGAGAGAGAGAGAGAGAGAGAGAGAGAGAGAGAGCGAAGAAAGAAAATGCAAAGAAAGAGATGCACGAGAGAGAGAGAGAGAGAGAGAGAGAGAGAGAGAGAGTTTGCACTGTTATTTTAAAATGCGCGCTACGCTGAATAAAATCACTTAGCTCCAATATCCTCATCACAAGGCTTAAAAGTGTATGCATGTATGTATGTATGTATTGCTGGCCGTATGTATGTATGTATGCATGTATGTATGTATGTATGTATATATGTATGTATTGCTGGCCGTATGTATGTATGTATGTATGCATGTATTATATTTCTGCACATCAATAACGAATATATAGTTAAATCGACAAGCATATTATCCCCCACTCATTGCACTAACATCGAAATAACGCCAAGATGTTTAATTCTCACCTACAATTTCTTTAAAAAGCTGTTTTAATATATCTTGGTAGTCCACCTTTATAAAAAGGAAAGACGAACGGACAAATATTGATTCGTGAAGATTTCTTTCATCTGTCTCTATTCTTAAATATTAGGCCTATTTAGAACATACCCCTATTTAGAACATACCCCTATTTAGAACATACCCCTATCTAGAACATACCCCTATTTAGAACATACCCCTATCTATTGATGATTGCTCACGCTCTTCTTTTACTATTTCAGGACTAAAAAAATTGGGTAAACACAGTACATAATGGAACTGCCAGTTAATAAGTACACATTGTAAAATAAATATTGAAATATTCAATTACCAGGACAAGAGTAATGCTAATGCTTTAATATTATTCTCATGTGATGACGCAATAAATATTGGAATAATTATAAAATTATCAGATAATCAATCATGCTTGAAATGATGATGTTAAGTACCTCCTGATTCGTAAGAGGTCATTAAATCGCCAGAGGCAAAATTCAAGTCTACAGTCAGTGTCCCACACGCACACATACGTACGTACATACATACATACATACATACATACATACATACATACATACATACATACATACATACATACATACATACATACATACATACATACATACATACACACACACAAGCATACATACAAACTGCACAATAAACTTTATCAAGATAAAGAATTCTAAATAATCAAAGATAAATAAACGATTATCTAAATCAATAGGTGAAAGGTCAGTGTATAGCTAGCAGATAGATTCGTAATGGATATTAATCATTTTATTTTCTAATTATTTTGCTATCGGTATTGTACACTCCTTTTGGGAAATACTATACAATAACTAGTTTAATTGTTAAAAATATATAAAGGTATAATGAAAAATAAATCAATCTAAATTCTGGAAAATTAACATTTTCTATATATTGCTCATGTCACAGATCATTCTATGCCAATCAACAAAATACACTAAATACTCGACTATATAGGTAACAGGAGCAAAATCCATTGCTAGAGTGTGACAGTATGTGTGTGTGTGTGTGTGTGTGTGTGTGTGTGTGTGTGTGTGTGTGTGTGTGTATTATGTCATATTAAAGATAACACCGCATGAGAAATCACACTATAATAGGTAAGGCATATATATCACAATATAATCATATATTGTTATTATTTGGTTGAATACATCAACACAAAGAGCCAACTGCAAAAGTGTATTTAGCTCCGGTTGGTATATTATGTTTCACAAGAGATCCTAAATAGATGAATTCTTTGGTTGTGTGCATGTCACGGTTCTTATCGTGTGAAAAGAATTCATGACTAGAATACCAATATTATTATAGAAAGGAGTTAGTAATTGAACAAGTTATTATGATATAGTGTAGGAGATTTTATTTACTTGTTACATACCAGTACTATCTGGTTTGCAGCACACATACATACATACATACATACATACATACATACATACATACATACATACATACATACATACATACATACATACATACATACATACATACATACATACATACATACATACATACATACATACATACATACATACATACATACATACATACATACATACACGTATCACTAGGCTGTTTAACATTAACATTATTTACAGTTAAGGAACGTTGATTCACAAGGACTTTACATGACCATGGCACGAACTTGCCCCAAAGATACGCAGTTGTTAATGTATTATCCAGAACAACATACTGAAACCAGAAGAAAAAAAATATTTGCTTTGAGAAAGCAAAGTTTAAAGATTTTCAAATGATGTAGCCTTATTGTAAAGAAAATAAATTCTAGAACGACGGAAACAGCTGGACATTGCAAATTATAATTGGTTCCATTGCATAGTTAAAAGTCCCACGCATTTCTACCCCCTCCTCCACTCATCCCCACCGTCGAGATGGAGACGAAGAGGACATCATCAAAAATACGTTTCTTTTACGATGTGTCTTCTTGCATGTCTGCATTTATGAAGTTATCAAGAAAATATTTTAAAATACTGTAATTCAAATACTGTACGCACTGACCTCTGATCCCCATCCAGGCACCCCAGGGCGAGATGATTAACAATAATCAAAATAAAATTTCACGAAGTCACAGAGACCTTTAGGAAGAGTCTCGTTATGGCATAACCAGAAACTGTTAAGCAAAAAAAAAAAAAAAAAAAAACTCCACTATCAGCTGATCAAAAATTTAAAACATTTGCTTATTTCTTCAGCCGTCTTGGAGGTCCTTAATAAATGTTACAATTGATCATACAAGTTGTGCAAAACTAAAAGGTTTGAACATAAAGAAAACATTATAGTGCATTCGTCACACGCTTATTGTTGGTGTCTTTATTAGTAATTATTGTACTAATTTTGTTTCAGTATTTCTTGTTAAATTGCGAATATTTTTTTGTTATAAGAAAGAACACTATATCAGCTCCCCTGTATGTGTGTATATATATATATATATATATATATATATATATATATATATATATATATATATATATATATATATATATATATATATATATATATATATGAAGCAATAAACTGACGACGAACAGTACGAAACTAGTAACTAACTAGCCTAAGCACTTTCGACTCTTAATGAGTCTTTTTCAGAGGCAAATACAAAACATATATACGACAAACAAATAAACACAAAAACGTTGTGTTTGTAAACCTCTACATGGCTGTCTTCACATGTGCTAAAACTATAAATACAACCAGCTTGTATAGACTAGTTGCGGTAACTAGTTACTAGTTTCGTACTGTTCGTCGTCAGTTTATTGCATCTATATTTTAATTAATCCCTGACACACGTGATCCCTTGGTGGATCCAGTACGCTTGAAAGGGTTGTTATTCGCCATATGATTTGTATTCTTTATATATATATATATATATATATATTTTTATATATATATATATATATATATATATATATATATATATATATATATATATATATATATATATATATATATATATATATACACACACACACATATCAAGCTCACATAAAACACGTCTCTTCGTTTTGATTCCCTGAGGAGGCCATATACTACTTAATGTTAATCTTGTATTTCTTATCACAAAATCGTATTTTGGTAAATGATATTCCGGTCGGTATTCTGAATAATGTATAGTATATAAATCCACCTTATTTTCAGGTCAACGAAGGCAATAATTCCCTGAATCACCTTTCTTTCTACAAAAGAAGTGCTTTCAAATGATAAAATTTACTCTGCATAATTGGTTTACCTTTCACACTTGTTTTCGATCACATGATCTCTATTTAAAATCTCACGGGAACGATTTATCATCTTTGTATCAACATTAAGCGAAGCGTTTGGTTATAGGCTATTGGTTCTTGATTGAATAGCGGAATAGGTAACTCTCAGCCTGGTACGCTCTAAATTTGAGAAGTGGGATGATAAAGTAGTACACTGAAAATGAGTTTATCAGCTGTTTATTTCTCATATCTAGTATTCGGTAAGTAAATTTTCATTTGTATGTTTTATGTTTCGTTAAACTGTATGAAGCTAAAGCCAGGAACATTGATAAAAATCGAAAATGTCCCGTCTTGCCAGTAAAATCTTGCCACGACATTTAAAGAAGAAACCTTTGTATCAAATAATTATGTATCATTTTGTTACGGCATTAGTGAGATAGGTATAATAAGTAATGTTTTCTTAAACACTGATGAAGTTCATAGCTCTTTTTGTGATATCAATAACTTCACTGAAAATAAGGCATGCTCTTCTTTGACGGTAATCATGTAAGTGATTCTTTGGCGCAAAAATTCTAATTACAAAATAATAAGCCATTGTATATGACGTCACAAAACGGTTTCTGTGAAATTACTATTATATGCGTCTGTATCGGAAGCTGACATATGACGTCACGTTAATGTTCATATGAAATTACTATTATATGCGTTTATATCGGAGATAGAGGATCTCGAATGGGTAACGATTTAATATTGAATTTATGAAACAAACTGAATAATGCCTAGCTTGTGCTAGCCTTAGCGAGCAAAAGCTGGACCTTATTTAACTAGTTTAATAAATTTAATATTAAATCATTGTCTATTTGACATTCTTTTTATTACATAGTTTATTTCAGTAGAAATTATTCAGGTAGAAAGAACGAATTATTTCGTTCATTGTGACAGACGCTGCTTTTTTATTTGTTGTGCGTAAAAATAGTTCCAAACAAAGTTGAAATAGTGAAAGGATATAACACTTTTTGATAACTATAAATCAAATAATAAGGATCCAAAAAACAGAATATTTTACTGTAGACAAAACATTTTTCAACACATAATGTCCAATGCTTGCGATGTCACATTGCTTGATGCGGTGCACATTACCGGTTTGAGTTGTCCAACACAACATGGTGACAGTGTTTACGTTGAAATTTCGCATCAGAAACAAATATTGCATTGTTGCAATATGTTTTATGAAAAGAAGATTACTGGATGCAGAAATACACATTTACTGTAA